CTTGCGGACTGTGGCGCAACTGGTCTCGACCGCGGAGGCACCCGAATGCTGCCCGGGTGAGGTAAGTTTCCTGCGCGTCCCCGGCCCCTCCCCCAAGACCCTCCTTAGGGGCTCGCGCTCGGGGGCTCCGTGTCTCTGACGAGCCCCGGCGGTCTCCCTGCCCTTCTACTTGGCCCGCCTGCGTCGTGCTGGGGGTGACGTGGAGGGGGCGCCCGTGGCCACCGAAGCGGGACCTTCGTTCCGCGGGGCCACGGCTGCTGGGCTCCCAGTGGGCATCCACCCGCTCCGCCACCCGGATCCTCGGGGCCGCGGTGACACCCGGAGATCACTCTGGGTTCACTTGAACAGGAGTCCGCTCCCCTTTTCAGGGGGGACCTGCAGAGTTTGGCAGGAGAAGGACAGGTCCCTCGCCACCACCCTCCCCCAGTACTAGACAGCGGCGAACTTGTTAGGCGCCCTTGGGATCTCGAGAGGGGCTTGCGAGGCGGTGCTCTGCCGGTTTCTGGCGTCGGAGCCGGCTTGAACAGGTGCGGTATGGTTCCAGCCTAAATGCAGCAACAGACTTCTGCGTTTCCCAGGCTTTCTCCCCCAGCCGGGTCAGCGTGACGCTTCCACATCTGGGGCGGGGGGTGGCGGTGTAGGGGCCATGGGGAGGGAGAATGCCCGGGCTTGGTTTGCCATGCCGGTGCCAGGAGTCGCCAGAGCAGAAGGCAGCAAATGTCTGCTTATCTCTCATCTATGCAGATGAGTATGTTGTCATTTCTTATCCCCCAGCGCTTGTCTCTGGCGTCCAGCATGGTTGGGTAAAACCTGTTCTCGAGAAGTTGCTTGGGTAGGTCGATGGATTCTTTCATCTTATCTGCTGAAATCGGGGATCCGAACCAGGAAATAAATGCTCGTTACTCTGATGTTTTTTAAAGGGAGCACGGTGCAGACCAAAAATAACACCCAGCACCACTACCACTCTACCTCCCTTGACATTCTCAGCTAGGGCGCCCTAGCTGTAACACGAATGGCCCTTAAGGAACCGGTGAGACCTCAGAGTGTGTTCATCTCATGCAAGGAAGAAGGGGTCTCTGCATCAGTACTTTTGAGCATCGGTTTGGGGAACTCCTTTTGTCCCTCTTAGGAAGCGCATCCCCATAGACACCTCTCTCCCTTGCTCTGTGGAGAGGCTGAAGTGCTCTGCAGTTGCTGGAGTGGAGAACAGCCAAAGCGGTGGTTTCAGTACGACTCCAGTGTGATGAAGTAGAACCGTGTTCATGGAAGCTTTTGCTAGAGCATGCCCAGCTGAAAGGAGACCCTGGAAAAAGCCTTTCCCAGCCAAGTCCAAGCCAGCGGGAGGTTGAGTAAGCGTCATGTATGATCTCTGAGGACGGAAAGTGGTGGGTTCTCAGTACAGTGCTGTGTGCAGAGACTTTATGAGGACTGATGAGAAAGGTGCATAAGTCTGAGACTGATGTATGATGACATCTTCCTTGAGAAGGAAAACTGCAAAGCATTGAGTGGTATAACCATGTTACATTTTTTTTCCAGATTCAGGAGACTAGGGATTTAATAATACCTTACATGTGTGTCAAGGTCTTGTAATTTGTAAATACTTTTCAGTAATTCTCACTTAATTCCAACTGTTTCTGAGGGAGACAGTGCAAAGATTATTTACCACATATTCACAGAAGGTATGTGAGGCTCACAGATTCAGAGATGTACCAAGGTAAGAAGTGGCTAGTGTTAGAATCCCACCCAGATTTTCTCTTATAAGACAGTGCCTGTTCTGTACTTGCATACTTTTTTTTTCTTAATGGCCAGAGTCCTTTTTTATTTACCGTGATCTGCGCAGTCTCACTGTGAATTATCGCTCACGTTTTACGGATGAGGAAACTGAGGTTCAGACAAGTGATGGGAGTTTTCCATGGTATCACATCTAATTTAGTGGCGTTTATAAAACTAGAGCTTGGATCACCGAATGCCTAGTCCACTGCTTTGTGCATTTGGCCATCATTCCACTTCTGATAGCAACGAGGACATATCATGGATCTTGCAATGCACTAGGAATGGTGAAGCATGGGGTCTGGTAAGCTGGGTTCCAGTTCTGGCATTCCATCTGGCTGTATGACCTGGGCCAGATCACATCACCTCCACATCTCAAGCTTGACATATCAAGCAGAAAGTTCATATGAAATTATGTTTCTGGGCTGGGCTCGGTGGCTCAACCTATAATCTCAGCACTTTGGGAGGCTGAGGTGGGTGGATTGTCTGAACCCGGGGGTTCGAGACCAGCCCGGGCAACTTGGTGAGACTGCAGCTCTACAATTAAAAAAAAAAAAATTAGCCGGGCGTGGTAGTGCACACCTGTAGTTCTGGCCACTTGGAAGGCTGAGGCGGAAGGATGGCCGGAGCCCAGTAGGTCGACACTGCGGTGGCCATGAGTGTGCCACTGCACTTCAGCCTGGACAATGGAGACTCCAACTCAAAAAAAAAAGAAAGAAATTATGTTTCTTCTTTTCAGCTTTAGCATTCAATGTTTATCAATGTATTTGTAATCTAATGTTATCATTTCCTTTAGGGGAAGGAAAGCTTTTTATCCTGTATTGACTAAGACATTGAACTAATTATTACTCTGCCTTTAATTTATTCCTTCCCACCTTCATCACTTACCACTTAATCAAGAGAAATACAATTACAAGTGTGCTTTAGCTTAGCATCTACAGTGTGTTATTTAGTATTACTAAATTTGACTTGAAAATATTCTGAGGAGCAGACATACTCTAAAGTACAGGTTTACCTGAATATTCTAACAGTAAACTCGCCTTTTTTTTTTTTATGCTTTGTGGCTGCATATAGTAAGTACTCAATACATAGCTGTTGAGTTTATCAAGGAGGTGAATGAAATCATTTATTAGGCAAACATATGCTGTGAAACATAAAAAGCACCTCCCCATATAAATTCCTAACATGTAGGGTAATTTACCTGCAGGAAGGTGCCACCTAAAGCTGGCAGGTACAGCAGCCCATTGTGGCTCTCTTTCCTGAATGCGTCATGTGAAGAAAGTTTTTCTTTCTCCCTACAGACAATAGACTCATGTCATCTATGTCATGCTCTTTTGCTCCTCCCCCCAAGTTGTATCTTTTACATTCCTAGAAATTGACTTGTCCCATTTTATGAAAAGGTATGTTTTGAGGTGGAGAAACCAACCACCTTTTTAAGAAATAAGGTATTGAGTAAATTTCAGCAGATGCTAATACTGCCTTGTGGTCTCAGGGGGGAACCTAATTAACAAAACCAACTTAGTTTCTGTTCCCTTTAAGGATATTCTTTTTCCTTCCTATATACAGAAAAGTTGTGCTTTGTTTTATTTTGTTTTGTTTTTGGGTTGGTGTCTCTCACTGTCAACCAGGTTGGAGTACAGTGGCAGGATCACAGCTCACCGCAGCCTTCACCTCATGAGTTCAGGTGATCCTTCCACCTCAGCCTTCCTGAGTAGCTGGGACAACAGGCGCACGCCACCATGCCCGACTAGTTTTTTTTTGTTGTAGAAACAAGGTCTTTCTATGTTGCCCAGGCTGGTCTTGAACTCCTGGGCTCAAGCAATCCTCCCCCCTCAGCCTCTCAAAGTGATGGGATTCCAGGTGTGAGCCACCATACCCAGCCATGTTGTGATTTTATGTTTGGAAGAATGATGACAAAGAATACAATAGCTCTCTAATATTATTAGCAGATTTGCAATTTATGTTGGGGATTGAAATATATTTCCTTCTGAAACAGAATTCAAATATTGACTCTTTTAGAAACCCACACTGCTTATGGGTAAAATAACTGAAACTTAGAGATGTGAACTGACTTGCTTCTGGTCACGTAGATGATAGATAGCAGGAGGACCAGGCTAGTGTGGATTCTTAAGAAGGTTCATATTCAGGTTTGTACCAGGAGTCTTATGGTGAAGGTACACTTTTAACTTTTAGAAATCATGCAGATAAACAGAAAACTTCTGTTTATTTATAATTATTGGAAAGTTAGTATTTATATTTTTAAATTTTCTTGCCCAAATAGATACCATTAAGGAGAAAATGTCTGTTTTTGTCTATTCACTGTGATTCTCTTGGTTTATATACATCACCAGACTCAGAATTAATACTTTGTTCCAATCAATGCTTGGAGAGAGGAAACTGTTTGAATAGAAATACAAATGTGTGCTGGTTTTCTAAGCTTTCCTTCCTGGTAAATAAAGCCAGAAGCCAAAGGGGGCCCTGTCATACAGCCGGTAAAGTCATAAATATGTATACATTTAATTTGCATTTGCATTTTGCTTGTACTTCTGTTAAATGGTGAGTCAGAACATTTAATATCCTGGAAAAATAATTTTTTTCTCTATGGCCAGAGCCTTCATTAGAGTTATTCTGTAAAACATCTAGTCCTAAATGTATTTGTTGCTGAAACATGTTCTCTTTGTATCAAGTGCATTAACTGGAGTTGGAAGGAATCGTTTATTTTTTTTTAGAAGCTGGCCGGTTAGAATTGTACATTATGTAGCTCCGTTGTTCATTTGTGGTCTTATCTATGGAGCAGGATGTGTTACTTTCTTCTAAATGCCAGGGAAATCAGGGAGGGAGGAAACCTAGGCTTTTGTTTCATTTTTGTTGTTGTTGTTTTTTCTTTTGTAACATCAACTTTAAACTTAATTTATTGATGAAAAGTTTGAGGAGCTGTGTCCTAAACAATCAGCTACCACTGACAAAGAGATTTATTTAGTCAGGTTCCTTTCCATATAAAAGATTAGGCCAGAGAAAACAGGCTTGATTTTGTACATTCTATTCTCAATTGTATCTACTTCTGTATAGCTTCATCAGAAGTATATAAAGAAGATGATCACACAGGTCTTCTACCCAAATTAGATTACTCTTGGGAAGATTTGAAACAGATGGTGATTGGGATATGGCTGCGTGTTCAGTCAGCTGACAATGACTTGCTATTATCATTTTAAGTTAAAACAAACCCACACTTGAATGAACAACCATGTGAAGTGTGTATTCTTCTCGTAGCAAATCTTCTGTTGTTTATGG